CGTACTGAATTCACCAGCTCCTCTGGTGGGCTTTGTGGGCCTAGTTCAAGTCCCAGCCGGAGGTCACACGGCTCCTAGTGGGCAGAGGCGGATTTGAACCCACCACTTGATATCACAGTGGCATGAGAATGAAACCTCACACGTGGAGAGGGGGCCTTCTGCAGAGCCTGCTCCTCACTCCCGCCCCCCACCCCCCATTGCTGCTGTGGCCACCCACTCCTCCCAGTGGTAACTGTCATCCTCTGTTGTGACAGAAACAAGCCTTCACTGATGTCGCCACCGGCTCCCTGGGCCAGGGCCTCGGGGCTGCCTGCGGGATGGCCTTCACTGGAAAATACTTTGACAAAGCCAGGTAAGGGTCTTCTTCCCTTCCCCCCGCCCGGTCAAACGCAGTTCCAGTCCCCTCAACCTCCCAGCCTTCACCCCAGGCACCTCCCCTGGGTGAGGGCCCAGGCAGCTGCAGCTGCCCTATATTCCCGTGTGCCATGACCGGCCCCTCCCCCAGAGGAAACACTTCCAGGTCCCTTGATCATTAGAAGCTGTGGCAGGGCTGGGGAGGACCTGCACCCCGGTAGGCCCCTCGCGTGTTGTGGGGGACATGGGCACCCCTGAGCCGTGCCAGTCAGATGCGCGAGAGACTGACTGCAGGGGCAGAGATCCCGCTGCGCCTGCACCAGGTGTTGTAGAACGTCCCATGGCAGAGGTGAGCTAAGGGCTGCCCACTGCAGCCCCTCTCCCTCCCAGTGGTGGGCAGGCTCTTCTCTTGCTGCCCTTCCTCCCCGCAGGAGAAGGGGTACAGCCAGGCATGTCCTGGGGCTGGAAGGTCAGTGGGTGTGCAGGTGAGCAGACACCCAATTCCTGGGCCTTTAGCTGCCAGGCCCTCCTGGGGCCCCAGGCCAGCCTCAGCGGGCAGCTCCAGCCAGTGCCCTAAGGTTCCTGGCCTAGCTTTGGGGCAGGCTGGGACTCGGAGAGAATGGTGTGTGTGTGACGGCGCATTCTGCGAAGTTGATCCTTACTTACATTTGCCGCAGTAATTCCCTGTGCAGGGTCACTTCCTGGTCCCAATATAATGGAGCAAGCCGGTGTACAGAGAAGGTGTTTAGCGGGTTCCCAGCACCCTGGGTGGCGTGGGGCCGCCATGGTTGGCAGGGGTGGGGCAGCAGGGGATTATCGAGCAGGGCCAGGTGCTGAGGGTGGTGCCATCATCACTAACAGCCGTCAGCCAGGGCACTTACGCCCACCGGCCCCTTTCCATGTGTCTTTTTGAACATATGGTTTTCAAATTACGAAATACCAACTCACTGGGAACCTACAGAACGATGCTAATGAGAAAGGAGCTCTTCCTTTATTCTCACCCCCTCACATCTCACTAAGCGCATGCGTTTCCCTCGTGTTCAGCATGAGAAGCAGCCTTTCAGTCATCCTTACGTGTCAGAGCCGAGGTGCGCTTTCCTTCTGAAAAGCACGTGGACGCGTGTTCCCATGACGTGACCGTGTTCCAAGGAGTGTGTGGTGTTGGGTGTCGTGCTGGCAGCAAAGCCTCTGTCGGGAACCAGGGTGTCGGGAACCGGCGTGCTCACTGCAAGGCGGGCAGCTCAAGCCCACCAGCTGCCCCACAGGAGTGAAGGGCAGCTGTCCACTCCCATAGAGATGTCCTACCTCAGAAGCCCTGCCCTGCGGGGCCTCCTTGGCGTGGGAATCCACTTGGTGTTGGGGGTGGGGGTCTGCGTGCAGTGAACGGTGAGTATACCAGGCTGCCTGCCCAAGCTTGATCTTACCCCACCGAGAGGCACCTGGGAGGAGAGGGCTCCACAGCAACCAGGGTCCTCCTGGCGTGGGCACTGGTGGCCCCAGCAACAAAGCCTAAAGGTTCGGGCAGGCCTGGTCCTGGACCTTGAAGCCGAGGCCACACTGAGACTCCTCTCTGCACCCAGCCAGCCTCACTTCCCTGGAAGTTGGGTGTGGGGTTGGGAAGGCAGCCAACCTTTCGAAGTGTGTGTGTGTGTGTGTGTGTGTGTGTGTGTGTGTTTTGCAGGGGAGGGGGGTGTTGCATTCCCTACAGGTCTTGCTGGCTTAGCCCTTGATGAGAGGGGAGGGGTCACTTTGAGAACTGCTGCCCCAGACCAGAGCACCCCTCCCTGGGCTCAGGGCCCCCTTGCACCCTGCAGGGAAGAGAGGAGATAAACTGGGAGTCCGCACCCTGGTTTAGATCATCAGGCCTCTGCAATGTGGGCCCGGCAGCCTGTTCCTGGCCGGGCCTGGAGCCTCCAGCAGGCCTGGTATTGCCTGAAAGGAAGGGGTGTGGCCGGCAGGGAGCCCGAAGCACTGAGGCCTGGGCTGGCCTTGTGCTGAGTCATGCTGACAGACTGACTGACTGCAGGGGGCCTGAGGGCCAGGCTCCTGAGCCTGCATCAGGCCAAGTTCCTTGTCCTGCCCCAGCTGGGGGTAGCCGGGCACCAGCCTCCGGGGTACCCAACAGCTGGAAAGGGCTGTCTGTCCCTTGCCCTGCACCCATTCCTCAACAGCAGCAAGTGGACAGAAGCTGGACTGGGCCATCGGGCTGAGGTTGACTTTGGCCGGCTCAGTCATACCCAGCTGTGTGACCTTAACCTTCCTGAGCCCTCTTCCTTGTGTGTGCAGTGACGGCTGCCTTCAACGTCTGCCAGAGGGTGCCAAGCATGGGCCTGGAAGCAACCCTGCCAAGCCCCTCAGTGCCACAGACTGGCAGTGGACAGGCTACTGTTTTCCTGCCTGCTGCCTGGGCCCGCAGGGGCACAGCCCTCGCATGGGGGGGCCCCCGGGCTCAGGGTGGGCGGGTTCTGTGGCCACTCTGCATACCCATGGAGGGTGTCGGTGGAAACAGACCACCAGGCCTTTCTTCCAGGCTCCTCCGGGTGGGCTGAGCCAAGTCCCTTAACCAGGGGCTCCTTGTGCTGTGTCCTGGCCAGTTGCTTTTGTCCTGGTGCACGCTAAGGACTGGCCCCGCTCCGGTGCCAGGCTCTGAGGCGTTTGGTTGCCCGGTTTGTGCTAACTCTCCACTGCAAGCCTCCTGCTCTGGTCCTCCACCCTCCCTGGGCCAGCACCTCTGGGCAGAGGCAGAGTGGGCTCCAGGATCTCCCTTCCCTTCTCACCCAGGGCCCCAAGACACTCTTGTTTGTGGGAGACTCGGACCCACTCCTGCAGTGGGTGCACCAGGGATGGCCCTTGCTTGTCCATCCTCCAGGCCCCGTTTTTCTTGTGCACTGACAGCCCCGCACTCAAGTGTTTCAGCTATTTCCCAGAAGTCAGTGCTGCTTCCTATCCCTCATAGCCCCTCATGGGCACTTCTTGTGGAGCTGGGGGCTGGGTGGGAGGCAGCACAGGTACTTGGAAATGCTGCCCCAGGGGCCCCTCTCACCCTTGAGTCTTGCTCCTCTCACCCTTGAGTCTTGCTCCTCTCGCCCAAGGATTGGTTTCCTGGGCAAGGAGGGCTGCAAGGGGCTGGGCCCAGTGGGGGTTGGGCAACAGGGCCAGCCTGACCCCACTGTGCTCTGTCCACAGCTACCGCGTCTACTGCATGCTGGGTGATGGGGAGCTGTCCGAGGGCTCTGTGTGGGAGGCCATGGCCTTCGCCAGCATCTACAAGCTGGACAACCTCGTCGCCATTCTTGACATCAACCGCCTGGGCCAGAGCGACCCGGCGCCCTTGCAGCACCAGGTGGAGGTCTACCAGAAGCGCTGTGAGGCCTTCGGGTATGTGTGGGTGGGAAACGTGCAGGCGAGGGCTGGGGCTTGAGGCTCATCTGCACACGCCTCCCAGATGCAGTTTTGACTCTGCTGTTTCAAGCTGGCCGTTGGCCTGAGAAGTGGTTGTTCAGGCCCAACGGACAGTGGCCTCCAGCTGGCTGCAGTTCCCAGCTTCCAGCCACATAGCCTGGTGGGGGAAGGGCCTAGTGGATCCACAAGGCCAAGGCCTGTGCATGTCTGGCCACGTCCCAGGCCCCACGGCAGCGACCCAGCCTCAGGAGGAAGCACAGGCCACTCTCGTCCCTGGTAAATGGGACCCAGGGGGTCCTGAATCACGGCTGAGTTCCGAGCACAACTGGGAGGTCATTCCAGGGAGGTGCTAGCTACACATCAGCTTAGCAGCACCCCCCCGCTTCTGTGCCCCAAATAACAGGCACTCCACAGCTGGTGCTCCCTGGGCCAGGGGCAGGGCAGGCGGGGTGTTGGGCCTGGGCCCGTGGCCGCCCTATGGTGTTGGATGGCAGCCTTGTTGCTTTTCTCAAACAGACTGATGACACAGGGTCTCTGGCCCCCAGGAAGGGAGAGGGGTGGAGACTGGGGCTGGGGACTTGGGCGTGGCCCTGGCAGCACCTCTGGGGCCTGTGCCCATGCCCAGTGGCTCCGGTGCAAGGCCCTGACAAGCTTCGTGGTGCTGCGGCCAGTCTCAGCTACCTGCCTGTAAGGTGGGGGCAGCCGCAGAGCCCACACACTGGCGTCCACGTCTGTAGTGTGAACGCTGTCAGAGCAGCTGCTGCGTATTCTGATCGGTGCTCCGAGTGAGGTCAGTCCCCAGAAGGACCCAGGGAGCAGCAGGATTGCCCTCCTGTAACAACAGAGCCTTGTGCCCATGGCCGAGGGTGCCCGGCATCTACGGAGGAACTCGTGTGTCCCACGTGGAGATCAGGCCCGTGGTAGGCAGATCCCAAGCCCTACGCATCAGCCCCGAACAGCTTCCAGCAGGAACTGCACAGGTGGCAAGTGAGACCCCAGAGAAGGAATCCCTGAGAAGGCAGGAGAAAATGCCCAAGGTGCAGCAGGGAGCCGAGGAAGCCACGTGGAAAGAGGGAAAATCAGGCCACGACTGGGAGGTGGGGCCTGTGCGGACTTCTCGCACCCTCCCGCTGACCCTCTCAGTGGCACGCTTCCCTTGGGCCACGGCTGGGAGGTGGGGCCTGTGCGGACCCTCAGGTGCCCTCCTGCTGACCCTCTCAGTGGCACACTCCCCCTTGGTCTGCAGCTGGCACGCCGTCATCGTGGACGGCCACAGCGTGGAGGAGCTCTGCAAGGCCTTCGGCCAGGCCAAGCACCAGCCCACGGCCATCATCGCCAAGACCTTCAAGGGCCGAGGGATTGCCGGTCAGTGGCCAGCCTCCCACCTGGGCCCAGGAGTGGCGGGTTGGGGTGGTGCCCAGGGAAGCACTAGGCCCGGGCCGCTGCCTCCGTGGGCTTTCCTTCCCTGCCTGTTCTCATGCCCAGAGTGCCTGTGCCTCTGGGCGGACGTGTGGGTGACTCTCAGCCGCCGAGTGAAAGGTCATGAGGGCCTGAGTCCACCCAGGCACTCCTAGGAAGAAAGGCCTGGCCGTCGCGTAATGAGATGTCTCCCTTTGGAAACCCCATGGGACATGGGACCCGACTCTGGGGGCGCGAGTCGGTGCTGTGGGGGCTGGAGGCCCAGGACACGAGTGTGGAGCCAGGTCTCTGGGTGCCGGCCCTGCCACGGCCACCCCACCCCACCCCACCCCCCATGCACACACCTGTGCTGCCCCTGCAGGGGTCGAGGATAAGGAGTCTTGGCATGGAAAGCCGCTCCCCAAAAACATGGCAGAGCAGACGGTCCAGGAGATCTACAGCCTGATCCAGAGCAAGAAGAAGATCCTGGCCACGCCCCCGCAGGAAGACGCCCCCGCAGTGGACATCACCAACATCCGCATGCCCTCCCCGCCCAGCTACAAAGTTGGGGACAAGGTACAGCATGTGGCTCATGCTGGAGGCTGGGGGGGCCAGGACCCCAACCCCTCTGAAGAGCAGTGCTGTGGGGGAGGAGGTGATTCATTTAGGGTGCAGGTCCCCATGCCATCACTCCCATGTGGGGCAGCCTGTTCTGGAGTGGCTTACCTTTGGGAGATCAGAGAGGGCAGGGAACGTGCCCAGGGTGCCCATGGACAGAGCTGAGTCCTTACCTAGGGCTGCAGCATCCCTGTGCCTGGCGTTTCTCTGCCTGCAGAGTGGGCTCACAGGCACCTATGGACACTGCCCGCTCGCCGTGGACACCCTGGTCCACAGCCTCACCAGCCTGAGTGTTTCTCCCAGACCGCATGTAGCTGCAGCTTCGTTCCTCCCTAAGTGATGGCCCTGTCCAGCAGCCCATGTCCTCCGACGTGCTCATGCTCCTCTCTCCTCTCCACCCCACCCCACCCGCCGACCCACAGATAGCCACCCGCAAGGCCTACGGGCAAGCCCTGGCCAAGCTGGGCCATGCCAGTGACCGCATCATCGCCCTGGACGGAGACACCAAGAACTCCACCTTCTCGGACCTCTTCAGAAAGGAGCACCCCGACCGCTTCATCGAGTGCTACATCGCAGAGCAGAACATGGTGGGTGGTTCGCCTGTGTCCTGTCTGCTACCTGTCTGGATCTTCCCGCCCCTACCTCCCGCGCCCACCGCAACCATCCAGGAGTGTCGGCTTTCTGCATGGATGTCCGCCCGGAGCTTTATGTCATCGTGGGACAGACAAGAGCTGTCTCTTGATGACAGACGTAGTACATTTCCCAGGCTCCTCCTAGCGTTCCTGTGTGTGTGTACACACACCACCCTATGCCACTCCAGCCCTCCTTTGAGAGGCACTTGGCCTGTGTGTGCTTGCTGTCTATGCAGTGAGCATGGCATGTGCGTGTTCTTGTCTGTGCCGTGAGCATGGCGTGTGCGTGTTCTTCCTGTCTGCGCAGTGAGCATGGCATGTGCGTGTTCTTGTCTGTGCAGCGAGTGTGGTGTGTGCATGTCTCCACATCATGTGCTGGCCTCTCCAGCAGACAATCGGGAGGGACAGCCGGTTTCCATAGCGACGGTTCCAACAACGCACAGGCACTCAGTCCTTGCTGTAGACTCCCCAGAACCTGTCGTTCTCCGGGTTTTGTGTTCTCAGGGCTGAGGGTTTATCTCATTGTTGTTTCCCCTTCCTTCTGGGAAAGAGTGCTCCTGAGCCTAAGGCTTTGACTTTCAAGGGCCCCAGTTCTCTGACTTTGTTTCCAGTTGTGACTTAGAGGCTATCTGTGTATGCCAAAAACTAGGGCCTCTCATTTTGCCCGGTGTTGTCTGCAGGAACGGACCCTTTGTGGAAGGTTGCCTGCCCACTGCAGGCAGACAGGTTTACTTCTGGGTGCTCACTCCTGCTCCCTTGGTCTGTGCTGCGTATCTGCCGTTCACGCGATGCCCAGCTGTTGTGAGCACTGGCCATACAGGCTGTGCAGTGTGTGTGGTCCGTACATCACAGGAACAGCTGGGAGGGCTGGGTGTGCGGAGGGAGTGGACTCTCAGGTGGTGATTCAGTGCACTGGCTGGAGGCGGGGCGCCCCGACGGTCTGTCCGTCTGCCATGGAAGTCTCTGGGTCTTAGTTCTGTTCGGGCACCCAGGGTGGCCGTGAGTTGGCATGGACTTGTTGGCAGCTCCTTTGGTAAGGTGGCAATCCCTACCCCTGAGGCAGCCTCCAGAGCGGGGGCCCGTCCCCTCCTCCAGGCTGACCCCGCCCTGCCTTGTGCACAGGTGAGCCTCGCCGTGGGCTGTGCCACACGCAGCCGGACAGTGCCCTTCATCAGCGCATTTGCGGCCTTCTTCACACGGGCCTTCGACCAGATCCGCATGGCGGCCATCTCCGAGAGCAACATCAACCTGTGTGGGTCCCACTGCGGTGTGTCCATCGGTGAGCATAGCCAGGCCTGCGGCGCCTGCACCTGCCTCTTCGTTCCTCCCGGGAAGCGGGGTCCCCGCCGGGAGTGGGGAGGTGTCTTGTCTCAGCTTGTCCTCCCCACTCCTCAGGGGAAGACGGGCCCTCTCAGATGGCCCTGGAAGACCTGGCCATGTTCCGCTCCATCCCCATGTCAACTGTCTTTTACCCAAGCGATGGCGTTTCTACCGAGAAGGCAGTGGAGTTAGCCGCCAATACCAAGGTTGGTCAGCTGTGGCGGC